TCTCTGTTGTTAGGTAGCAATAAAGTAATGAAGTCTTGACATAGAGAATATCTCTATCTGACTGGTTGAACACAAGGTATAAGTTATAAAAGGTTAAAGTGTGGTGAAAAAACTCAAATACTGTACATGTGAGGTACTATACTTGAGTATTTCCACTTTATGTTAGGACAACTTTATACTTAACTACAGTATAGAGGGGTATATAATATAATTGCACAGCACAGTTTCTTTACATATTTTGATTAATTAAACAAAATACAATCAACAAATAAATTATGATGTATCATTGTGGATAAAGATAAAACTTTATTGATCCCTTGGTGATAGTCACAAGCTACTATATAGTAATATATAGTAAAAAAAATAACCCCACCTTCACCAGCTGCAACATTAAAGTCATGTACTTAATACATGTAAAATAATAATATACTCAACAATAACTCAGTAATATAATATACATTATCCTAAAATGCACTTTTGTATTGTTTGTTGTGTTTGAGTACTTCTTCCACCTCTGAATTTGGATGACTTTTAAATGTAAAGTGGAATCTTCACAGAGCAAAATTTTAACAAACATCAAAAGCAGAAAAATACAAGGAGCACGATAATTAAAATTCTGACATCTAACGTTTTCTCTGATTATTAAAATATATTTTTAGATTACCACTGTGGAAGGAGAGCTATTAAAATGCAAGGAAAGACTTTATAGATTAGCATGAGCATCTATAACCGCTGTGATGTAAAAGTCAAAGAACGAAATGGTATTTACTGACTTTTAATTGCCATATCTGTCAGACCTAAATTACAGTTCCTGCTGAATGGAGGGAGAAATGTTTCTGACATGAAGTGGCAGGCAGGTTTATGAGCTGTAGCTCAACCAGAACTGCTCTATTATACACTGACTTCTATTTATTTACTTAAGTATCGAAGGAACTTGTCTTGTTGCTGCTAATTTGATATAATTTTTGAGTAGCTGTGTTGACCTACTTTAATATGCACTATGATGGAAATTCATGATTCAACAAGAAACATAAAGACCTATGGGTTCTCTGTTGTATGTGCTTTTTAATTGCGCAGAGAGTTGCTGCCAAGTATCCTGGTGATAATGGTCGTTTGTGCCGTATGTCCCTCATTGAGGAGGGCGGACAGAAGAGGATCAACATGGCGCATTTGTGCATTGTGGGGTCCCATGCTGTCAACGGTGTGGCCCAGATCCACTCTGACATCCTCAAAGCAACTGTGTATGTCTCCAAAAATAAACACTAATCTGCCTGTAATGGTGGTAAATCAACTAAAATACAGTGCATGCATTTGCTGTACATGTAAAAGAATCTGTTTCATAAATCCCCAGCCTCTATGATTCCTCGGGCTGCTGCATCATCTATGTGTTCCTCTGATATATGTGATGCTTCACTCTGCCTGCAGTTTCAAGGACTTCTATGAAATGGAGCCACACAAGTTCCAAAACAAGACCAACGGCATCACTCCTCGCCGCTGGCTGGTTATGTGCAACCCGGGGCTGGCTGAAGTCATCGCCGAGGTTAGCTGTGTTTCAAAAAACACACTTCACACAAATAACATTGGCTGAAGCTGAAAATGCATGTTATTTACTTTTTCTCAATTTATGTGAACAGAGGATCGGTGAGGACTTCATCCGTGACCTCGACCAGCTGCAGAGTCTCCGCAAGTATGTGAATGATGAGGCTTTCATTCGTGACATTGCCAAAGTGAAGCAGGTAAATAATGTATCATTTATGTCAGTTTTGAATTTACAGTATTATGTTTAAGATAAGTAGATACAAATAAATAATTAAAATGGTATCAAATAAAGAATTGTTTAGCTTGTCTTTACACAGCACATACAAATAACCGTTAAGAGAACTTGTTGTCTTTTTTGTAATGAAGTAAATTTTTTTGGTCACGTAGGAAAACAAGTTGAAGTTTTCTGTGCACTTGGAGGAGCACTACAAGGTGAAGATCAACCCCAACTCCATGTTTGACATTCAAGTCAAGAGAATCCATGAATACAAGAGACAGCTGCTCAACTGTCTGCACATCATCACCTACTATAACCGTAAGTGCACGTTTAAAATCTTCAGCCCCACACATTTAGTTAGTTGTTTTTGAGATGATTCTAGGGCAACATTGTGTGTGTGTGTGTGTGTGTGTGTGTGTGTGTGTGTGTGTGTGTGTGTGTGTGTGTTGTCTGAGCCTGTTAAGAATTTTGCACCTCAGTCCTGTAATCTCTTTGTATCTCCGCCAGGCATCAAGAAGGAACCTAACAAGCAGTGGACTCCAAGAACTGTCATGATTGGAGGAAAGGTTTGTAGATAACAAATGGGCTTTAAAGACAAACTCACCCTCACTCAGGCTAAATTCATCTAACAGTATTCCTCTAACTGTTCCCTTCATGCAGGCTGCTCCTGGATACCACACTGCCAAGATGATTATCCGTCTGATCACAGCTATCGGCGAGGTGGTCAACAATGATCCTGTTATCGGAGACCGTCTCAAAGTCATCTTTTTGGAGAACTACAGAGTCACACTGGCAGAGAGAGGTAAATCATTGCCCTATTCCTTTTTCCTCCTTCCCCAAACAGGATTTTTTTTAAACACAACATGGAAAACACAAACACAAAATGCTTATTAGAGTCATCAACCCTGTACTTCTGTCATCTTTCAGCCATCCCTGCAGCTGACCTGTCAGAGCAGATCTCTACAGCTGGCACTGAGGCTTCTGGCACCGGCAACATGAAGTTCATGCTGAACGGCGCTTTAACAATCGGTACCATGGACGGAGCCAATGTTGAGATGGCCGAGGAGGCCGGCGAGGACAACCTTTTCATCTTCGGCATGAGGGTGGACGATGTCGATGCACTTGACATGAAAGGGTAAGGACTGAACCCTGATCTGACAAACTGTATATACACTTCCAGCTTTTATCTCAAACATATTTTGTTCTGAAGCTAATTCATTTTGTGATATTACCTCTTCATCACACATTTATTTCATCAAATTTAAGTAAGGTGATATACATAATCCCACAATTCAGATTTAAAGGTCCAGTGTGAAGGATATAGAGCCATCAAAAAAAAAACCAATGCAAACAGTTTAACATGGTGGCCTTGTTTGCGGTGGATAATTTGCGGCTTCAATAAATATAAACACCTCATTCTAAGGTCACGAAAACACAAGAATTCTTATTTTTAGTGAAAACATTCCTATGAATGGGTTACTACAACAACGTTTTTCTCTGCCCTGCTTAGATACCACGCTGAAGCGTACTACAACCGCCTGCCTGAGCTGAAACAGGCTATTGACCAGATTGCTGGAGGCTTCTTTAGCCCAAAGCAGCCTGACCTGTTTAAGGAAATTGTCAACATGATGATGCATCATGACAGGTAAAGACACATCTAACATTTGCAGCCTGAGGCACACGCATGCATATGCACATACAAATAAGAACGAGTATAAACTTGCATGCTGGTGCAAAAAAAGAAAAGAAAACCCAAAACAACTTACAGCCTTTTGTAAACCAACATTCAGTACTGTATAAAAATACACACATGCAGGCACCATATCTATTTACATTGTACTGTACATCTGTTGTATACGTCTTTTTTGGTATATGTTAATTTCATTCTTGTCTGCACAGATTTAAGGTCTTTGCTGACTATGAAGACTATATGAAATGCCAGGAGAAAGTCAATGCTCTTTACAAGGTACTTTCATTATTATTGTTGTGTATGTATTGTTATTGTGCATTTATAGTATGATTTTAATTCAAATGGGTTTATTAAAAGTATCACCAGTTATGGAAGGAGACTCAGAGCTAATCATCTTAATAATCACTGATGTTATTATTCACTTATCAATCATTGTCATCCTCACATCAGAACCCCAAGGAATGGACCAAGAAGGTGATCTACAACATTGCCGGATGTGGCAAGTTCTCCAGCGATCGCACCATTACCCAGTACGCTCGTGAGATCTGGGGCATGGAGCCCACGCTTGAGAAAATCCCTGCCCCTGATGACAAGATATAAACTGTCCACATGGCGGCCAACACCCTGACTTTCCCCGCTCGTATCACAACACAAACGAGAACCTAAGAACCCACATGGTATGATGGTATACATGATACTGTGTGTATGGTAAGAGCCCCCACAAACCTGCATCCATGGGGATTAGCATTACACACTGTCTGTGTTACTACATTGTGTCTCACACAAAGTGCTGATCTAATTTTTCATACCTGCATATTCATGGAGTAATAAAACTGTTATCATCAAGGATGTAGAATTGGATATTTACAGTAGCTGCTGTAAAATAGATAAAAGAGGTTTGTGGTGGGCTTTGAGAATGTATTGGTGATATTTTTTTTATTCAAAAATATTAACTCTTGTATTTCCACTCAGACCCATTCTGAATAAAATTAGTCTGAAATACCATAAATAACAGCCTAAGTGACTTTTTCCAGCAGTTCCATTCCTTTTTCAGGGATAGCCAGGTTTCCAAATAATTTATTTAAGCATTGTAAAGCATAGAGTAAATATACACATAATGCAATGTCTTGCAAATAGAATAATTATTCCAAGTCAGTGTTTTCCTACATTGGCCAACATTTGCCATGTTGGCAATGGAACACTAAGGTCTGTTATATAGGTTATATTTACCCTCAACTGGGTCACAACATAGTGGGAGTGTGAGGACAATGAACTTTGCAGAGGATCGGATCCCAGAATCAGAAATGCATTTCAGGTACAAATAGTTAAACAATGTCACATAAATGGTTTGTCTTACAATACACATGATCGGCAATGAAAAAACACTTGTATTACAATTGCATTACCAAATGCTGAGACTATGCACTCGAATGTTTCTGTCCAATCTCCGTGCAACAGACATATACGTCTCTTATTTTTCAAAAAGAATTGTATTTATAAAGGAGTTTTTTTTTTTTTTTTTTTTTAAAGTGAGTCCCTTACCATATTTGGAAGGTCAATATTGATCAATGTCAGTTGGGTGGAAAAACACAGAGGGGGAAATAGCTTGTCAAAAGTGTAAGTAGATACTTATGAATAATAGAATAGCCTACATTCAGTTTTCCACAAGGCATAAAAGTCTAATCTGTAATGTGAGGAAACAGTGACGTCAGTGCAAACACGCACATCTACATGTTTTGTGTTTTGATCGGATGTGTGGGTTGTAGTTGACAAAAGCAAGGGGAGGTGTTTGGAGAAGACTTACTGTATGACAATCTGAAGAAAACCTCAATAGAAGAAAAGAACCCATTACCGCTGTCACCGTCTTATTAACACTGACTCTGCTTTCAGATGATGGAACTCTGTAAAGGTAAAGCAAGATTTACAATTGGTTTTCATCTTGCACATTAGTGTGCAATACAGTACTTAATGTATTATTTGAAATTAACCTAAGAGTGAAATATGCAGTTTAGTTAAATGTTGGCGTTTTGTTGTATTTTGTAATCAAATTATAAATGAATGAAATCTGTAAGACATAAGACATTTTGGTCAAGTGGATAGCAGTGACTACGGGCTTGAGTGTTAAGTCAACATTCATTCAATATCTCTGTAAACCTCAGAGACAGATATAAAATAGCAAATTTATATTATACGTAAGACATTAACCTATTTCATTTTCTGTATGTCACTTACAGAGTCTGACATCATGAGCGTTCCCCTCTGAAATCAGCTGAGAAATGTTGAGTGTATAAAAATAAAATTCAGGAAGGTAAACATTTTTGGAAGGCTCACAAAGGTCTAATAGGTACCAAGTGGGTAAGTTAAATAAACCAAATAATGGGGCAATGTAGAGCAGAGAAAAGTATTTGATAAGGCCATGGCCCCACAATCCCCGCGATGACAACACCAGCACGAGACCCAGTCTGCGGCAGCCAGGACTTTGGCACTGTGTCAGCGTGGGCAGCCCTCTTATCCACTATACTGGTAATGGGATGTAGTCAGAGAGAGTACAGTAAGACTGAATGCAAACTGTTATCATGGACTGTCCCTGATAACACACCAGTGTTGTGTTGCATTATATTCACCCATGGACTTTACTCCAAAACAGTGCATAAAAACATCACCATAGGAACTAGGAGCAACTGTCAGATTAAATAGTTTATTGTATCTGACTAAATAAATCCTTGGATTGTGTCACAGCCTATTTTCCAGATTTGACTGGAAAAACATATTAAAACAACATTAAACAAATGGTATTCATTCATAAAAAATGTTTTGTTGGTGCAAATGTAAGACGTAATGTAACTGACCAAAAAGGAGGTCAAAACTCAGACAATATAATTTTTACCAACAATAACTAAAGTTTATGGTCTTAATAAGCCACATAAATGAAACAGTATGACACTTACAATCAACAGCAGAATATAAACTCCACAGAGGCTGCAGCCACAAACACACATATTAAAAGGAAGAAAGAGCGCTCCACAGGTTTTTCATGTGTCGTGTACACAGATACACAACACTAACTTGCCAGGCAACATTGACGTTCTCATTTGGAAAGCGCTACAATCATCCATGAGTTTGTTGTTGTACTCACCTGAACATCTGGACACCGCTCCGTTCATTCTGTGAGTCTACAATATTGCTAACCTCAACCCATAACGACAAGTTTTTTTATTATATTACATTGTTGTACTTTGCACAATCGGCTAAGCTAGGCCAGGTTGTGACTGCACCCCACACCCCTGTTAGTGTCAGCTGAGTGCACAGTGGCACCTCTCTGGAGCTCTGCCCTTCTGCAGCTACAGATGCACCAGCAGCTTCTTCTCTGCTGCAGATGCTTACTTTTTCATTAGACTTTTTCTTCCGTAGTGGATGTGACTTGAAATGTTGAGAAATACAATACTTGAGACAAAAAGCACCATAAAAGTAAAAGTAAAATTAGGCAATTTACTGATTTTTAAATAATACTCAAACACACAATTAATGACTTTGTTACAGTAATGAGATTAAGTTTGTTACTTCCACCCCTGCTGAAAACCACTGGAAACATTCCCTTGTGTAGAGAGGAAAACTATTTGAGTGAAAAATGTTCTTTGAGTCGCCTGCTGGAGGAGCTGTTGCTATCAGAGGAGATGAGAGGAAGGAGGAACAACTGGCGACAAAGCTGTGCACTCTGTGACTTCATTTCATTCTTCAATGGCATTTTGGTGACAATAAAACATGGTTGATTGTCATGCACACACACAAACATGATGGACCCTTCTTAATAACACCCAAAACCTAGTGAAGGAGAACTAAACTGGAGATTTGTTCATAGATCATGTTGTTTTCAAGCTTATATGCAGAAATAAAGAGGCTGCACCAGTACATGTACTATACTATACTATGCATTCAAAAGATACGTGAAAAGGAAGTGAAGCCAAAGAAATAACTTGGACCCAGCAGTTTAAAATTCACTTCTTTAATGGTAAAAATAAGAACAACATTAAGCATCTTGTGTTGTACTATTTGTGTTGTTGTACTATTTGTGTTATCTGTTGTTACTGTTGTACTATTTGTGTTATCTGTTGTTTGTGGATTCGTACTGTTGTGGATTTTTACTGTTTTTTCTTTTTTCTCTTGTACATAGTGTTTTTTATTTATTATTTTTCCTACCCCTACTGTTTTTATACTGTTTTTTTTTTTTTTCTCTCTATCCACTTTGCTGCTGCAACATTGGAATTTCCCCATTGTGGGACAAATAAAGGAATATCTTATCTTATCTTCTGAAAAATACTAACATTTGTCTTCTGGAATAAAGTGGATTTGCACTCTTGTTTTGGTGACACTGGCTTTGCCTCCTTATTGTTGGGGGTTCACTGTTGTATGTATGTGTGTTTTTTGTTTTTCTGAGATATGTAGAATAGTATTGAAGTAATAATCTGTCCATTTGACATAAGCTGGATTTGGATATTTGATGAATGAAATGAGCTATTGTTATTACACATATTTTATGTTATATGGACTATACATGAACAAATATATATTCTTTTTGTTTGCCAAAAAACCTCACAGACAAACAGTTCAGTGTGTGATCTTACATATAGTTACCTATGCTTTGGGTGAGTTAACTCCCTGTTAGACCTCATGTGGACTGTTAAAAAAATGCAATAATCACAATCATCAATCACAAGGGCTGTAGAGCTAAAAAGAAAGGTCGACAAACTATAAACTTCCACCCATACACAGGACTAGAACCACTGAAACCGAATAATATAGCCCTATAAATGTTTTATTTTATCATTTTTATTTTTATTATTGTTGTTGGAGTTTAATTGGTGTAGTCGGGTGGGTTCAAATCATTATGGCTTAAGTGATCAACAATCAATATTCAATTGTACTTTATTTCATTGACTGGATTTCAAATGCTGAAACTATTTACAGAACTACCTCTCTCTCACACACAAAGTGAACACAAAGTGCTTTCATTGTGAAAATGGTTCATATTTAGCCAGCGTAATTGGAAATAGAGAATGATAGAATGATCCATGCCTAATTATAACATTAGCCACTACCCATTTTTACTATTTGCAACCTCTAGCTTTAAATAGTTTTACTATTCAGTGACAGTGGTTGTGCACGCATGCTGCCACTAAAGTGTTGTTAGCCTGCAAGCACTGAGGCCACATGGTGTGCGCTAAGGAGAATGGATGTTCCATGCCACACAACTGCGAATAAGCAAGTGATTGTGAATCATATATTTATTTGATTTGATTTGTTAGGGACAGATAATGTAAATGAACACCAATATAAAAATAAAAGCTTTTAATATGCCAGAGTTAGCAAATGCTAATTTACATCCATAGTCCCTAGGCAGGTAACATTGAAATGATAAGAAATGGCTGATGCCAATGAGCCAATAGGACCGTAAGTTAACTAACTGCTTCATCAAATAAAGATTTTATTAGAGACTGAGAAATAAAATTTTCAACTTAAGTCAGTCACTATTAAGAACAGTGTATTTTGGGAGAAAATCATCAAAGGTTAAAAATGTATAACTTTTAGATAAAAAAAAAAAGTTCTTGGTATTGGACTTTTGTACCTGCACTGCTACCTGATCAAACAGTTTTTTTTATATTTGTCTAGGCTTTACACTGTGACAAAAGGTCGTGTTCAAAGTGTTTGGGTTCAGTTATGTTTGTAACTATTAACAGAGCAAGAGACGTAAAGCAAGAGGACATTTAATATGTGACTGTTGTCAAAGTGATTGCATTGTTTAAATGAGGGTTTACTGGTGCAATATATATAAGATAACTCTTCAGTGCCTGTCTCTGAGTATAACAAGTTAAAAGTCCAAACCCGCATCAAGCATCTGACAGCTTTAGATTCCAAGATTCAGGTGATTATACACTAATGAAAACATACCCACGCATATTATATCCTATTTCTGCCAATAGAGCCTCCTAAATGTTACGCACTGGACCTTTGAATCCAGATCAAGGGCCCTTTTAACCTTGCTAGCGGCGTGGCTCTATCAATGGACATTTCTACAACAACCATTGGATGGATTCTCTTGAAATTTGGTAGGACTGCACCTTATCTTCTACATGGCTTGTAATAACTAGCTGCATCATCAGGTCAAATTACGAATATTTCAGTACTTTGTTTTATAACCAAATACCGTAGTGCTGATTGAAAAATGTTAGCATGCAACACGCAAAACTAAGAGGGTGAACATGGTACACATTATGCCTGATAAACTTCCTGTTACCATCGTCTTTGTTAAGCATTATCAGGCAAGAAATAAAAAAATACAAAAGTTTTAAAATGAAGTCATCTAAAGTTATATAGTAACCCCTCGGAAAGTCTTGCTTTTGCTGACACTGTCTATTTTCTATGTACTTGATGCCCTGTTGTTTGAACAAATACTAGCTGGTTTCAGATAACTGTCCTGGGCTTTTTCCTGTTACAATATCTTGTTCTTTTAAAAGCTTTTTAATCTTAACTGGTTTCACCCTTTGCAACCTATTGGCCTGACTTAACATCTGCGTCTGTGTCACCCTCGCCCTGCACTTCACTGTTAATCTGTTGTCCCTGGAGCAGGTCTGTATACAAATTTGTTTGAATTTTTCTAAAGTTTTACCCATATTCTGTCAATATACCTGTTTACTTTAAGGGCTCAAACTGCAAACTGTTGAAGGAGGAATTTAGAAGGACAAATCTTTCCCCCAAAGAGTCATGCAGCTGAAAAAACTGAAAGCTGATTGTTTTGCTTTGGTGCACCTGCCGCTTCATTCAGCCCGACATCTCATGCTGATTATTACACAAGTGCACACATTCCTCAAAACTAATCATCAGGACACAACCCAGGCAGACATGTCTCAGATGTGAGCTACATGTACTAAACACAAACACAATACAAATGTGAAATACAAATTATTTCATATAAATACTAATTATTGTCCAGTGCAGTTGCTCTTTTACTTTTTATTCTTGGTTCTGTCTCTTAACTGTCAGTCACCATAACGTGACTGAGTTAGAACACCTGCTGCTGTTGCTTATTGAATTGTCATCGCATAGTCACTTATTGACTGAAAATTCTGTTTTATAACAAAAGGTGACGGAGACAGACATAAGGTCACTGTGTCGAAGTTCTTTTGAATAGTTGAATATTTATCAGCATGTTTTGCAATTCATGTCAAACACTTACTTATTGATTTTCCTTTTCTAATTGCCTGCTGCTGATAGCTTTTATCTAGTAAAACCATATGCACACACACACACACACACACACACACACACACACACACACACACACACACACGCTCTCACCCTGTCCCTCATTTTAAGTAACCAATAAAAGGGAGTGTGTTTCAGTGCAAAGAGAGAAAGGAGCTGAGCAGCTATGTTCCCACTCTTGATGCTGGAGCTCACTTGCACTGAAACACTTTAACCGGACATTGTTCCTGCACAGCAAGGACTTAGCATTCTACCTCAGTGTTCATTGAATGAGCGGCTAATACCTCAAGAGGTCACATTTCACTTCTAATAATCCAAAGTTCAGAAAAGCCGTAGGAATTTGAGAGCCGATTACTCTCTTCTACACACTGCAGCAACAAGACGACTTCTTTTTGAAATTTTTCGGGGCTTCTTTTGAGGACGATTTTATCTCTTTTATTTGAATTGTTTATCAACATGTGTTAAGTTGTTTTAATGAACTTTGTGAGCCAGCATTCTTATTATATTTTGTAGATATTTTATTTAATGAGGGAAGACTAATTCAGCAGGTAAGTCTATCCAATATTAACACAGTATAATTGATTCAAACGTATAAAACAAATGTGCTTTATGGTTAGTTCTCCAATAATGTAAATACTTTTACAGGTGCTAAACAACCTTCTCATTTTTGCACATACAAGGATTCTAAAGGAACCTACCAACAACAGGATCTAGTGCCATTAACATTAAAGTCACCTTGTAGAGTTCTGGTTGTACCAAACTATGGCGTTTGGTGACCTGCTAGAGATAGTGGGCAGCACAGGACGCTTCCAGATCCTGCATGTGACCCTCCTCTGCATACCTGTCCTGCTGATGGCCAGTCACAACCTGTTGCAGAACTTTGTGGCCTCTGTGCCTCGTCACTACTGCAACGCACATGCAAACCTTTCTCAGTTACAGCTAAGCCCAGAGGAAACACTGCTCATCACAGTGCCGCTAGACCAGACAGGGAAGCCACTGAGGTGCCAGCGTTACGTTACACCTCAATGGCACCTCCTGACTAAGAATGGGACCTCCAGTTCAGCGGAGCCAGGAGACACTAAAAATGATGTGGATGTTGACCTGCAGGGATGCACCGAGGGATGGTCCTATAACATGACTGAGAGGAGCTCCACGATCATATCTGATGTAGGACTGCATATATTTTCTTCAGTTTTACATGCTGATATGCTATCTTGTTATTTGTGTTAAAATGTGCTACATTTTTGTCAGTGGGACTTGGTGTGTGATGTTCGCTCTTTGAAGCAAATGGGACAAACTGTCTACATGGGAGGTGTGCTTGTGGGAGCTCTTGTCTTTGGAGGTCTTTCAGACAGGTAACATTAATCTCATCCCTACTGATTTTACTGTGGTTCAGCTACTGATAAGGTTATCTGTTACAATTAATCATATAGCTAACATCTTTTATTCATGAAATTTGAAATATGAATAAATATATAGAGAAACTTGCCTTGTCTTCATGCATTATTGTTTAAAAATTGGAACTTATTCAAATAATGCGATATAGTCTGACCTCAATGACCTCAATCTTTGTAAATCAAACTGGCTCCTAGATATGGTCGCCGCATCCTTCTGCTCATCTCTCACATGCTGATGGCAGTGTCAGGAACATGTGCCGCTTTCTCGACCTCCTTCCCCCTCTTCTGCCTATTCCGGTTTGGTTGTGGCATGGCACTGTCTGGCCTGGGGCTCAACACGTTCTCGCTCAGTAAGATATTTAGCTGGCTAGAGAACAATCAGTGTGCTCTGTAAAAGGACTTAACAGGCATGCTATAATATATATTTTCTGTGATTCTTTCATTTCAAGTTGTGGAGTGGATCCCCACTCGTGTGCGGACAGTAGTGGGGACAATAACGGGTTACTGTTACACAGTGGGGCAACTGCTTCTGGCAGTCATAGCCTACTTCATCCGGGACTGGAGGTGGTTAACGCTGGCTGTGTCTTTGCCCTTCTATGGCTTCTTCCTCTTCTCATGGTGAGATGCAAAGTATTAAACAGGAAATAAAAGTCTGGGTGGCAACCAAAATTACTGATCCATGTTTAAAGTTGGAAAGATTTAGTGATCAAAGTCATTATTATTAAAAAATAAACTCAACAAATATCTCAAACAGGTGGTTTCATGAATCTTCAAGATGGTTAGTCCTGAGTAATAAGTCTGAGCAGGCCATTAAGAACCTTCAAAGTGTGGCCAATTTTAACGGACGGCGTGAAGAAGGAGAAAAGATTGACATTAAAGTAAGTGATAGTGATGTATTTATGTTATTGCACCATCTGTCTCTGTTTATAATTGCTTATGAAATAAATTCAAATCGAGAGAACTCCTAATGCGTAGATGGTGCAGGAGTCCATGAAGAAAGAGATGTCTGGTTCCCAGGGTTCCTACTCTGTCCTGGATCTGTTCCGCACACCCACAATGAGGACTATGACAGTCTGCCTCAGTGCTGTCTGGTAAATATCCTGCTCTTGTCATAGAAAACCTCACTTGCAGTTTTTAAACCCCTTATATGAAATTGCAGTGACAGGATGCATGTTTTTTTTAGGTTATCGACAAGCTTTGCCTATTATGGTCTTGCTATGGATCTGCAGAAGTTTGGGGTGGACATCTACTTAATCCAAGTGATCTTTGGTGCTGTTGACATCCCTGCTAAAGTTGTTATAACTGTGTCCATGAGTTTTATTGGACGACGTCCATCACAATGTGGTGCCCTCATGATAGCCGGAGTCACTATTTTGATCAATCTGCTGATACCTGTTGGTATGTAAGAACACATGCATGCAAGTAAAGGCTGAATATTACACTACAGAAACAACAAAGTGACTGATTGCATGTTCCATTTCTGTGCAGATAAACAGACGGTACGCACCTGTATGGCTGTACTGGGTAAAGGTTGTCTTGCTGCCTCCTTTAACTGCTGCTACCTTTACTCTGGAGAGCTGTACCCCACCATCATTCGGTAAGTCTTATTTGGAAAGAAACATGTAAGTGTCAATTAACTTTTTGTTCAGACATTTAGCAAAGACAAGTCATTATATTCTATTCAATAGGAAAATCAGGCATATGTTTACAGCAGGATATGTGAGAGTTACAGTACTTTTTCACCATGTTCCCAAAACTCACAAGGGGGAGTGCTAACATTGTTCCACAGCAGCCACCCTGACAAGTCTGCCTGCAGATGTGTCTGAAGACATTTTTTGTTTATCGGCCTCGTGAGCCCAGATACCAGCCATTGCCAATTATCTCAAAATGCTAGATAATCTGCCTGATTAATCGGCCTATCGCTATTTATGAGTGAGCCAGAGGAGCTTCTCTGATGGACTGATTAACAGACTGAATTGCTATTTAGCTGAACAAAAATTATTCAGAAGTCAAAAAATAAAAAGTTTACTGCAAACTACAGCAAAGAAGGACTGTGTGGTGACTGTGTTGTTAGTGTGCAGTTCATTGTGCAGACATATTTTGTGAGGAGGGCAAAATAAAGGTCAGAGGGCAGGTTAGCAGATAAAGATTAACAGTGTCAAACAGAAATGAGGGATAAACATTGAAGGACCATTATAAACTCAGTGACCATTTCATTGCAAATGCTGGTTTTGCAAAACGTAGATGCCTTCAAAACTGCTGTAACCCTTCGAACTATATAAGGTATTGGAAACATGCAAGAGGTTTTGGTTCATTTTCATGGATTTCTTCAGACTCTCAGCAGCAACTCAGCATAAATTGTGTCCTAGATTGCAGCTGCATGCTTATCTGTGAAACAAGCACTTGAAAATTGATTTTCAGTTTTACAGTTATAAAGGTTTTTTTCCACCGTTGAATATTTACTGTACACATATTCACACGTGCATTGAAAGGATGAGTTTCCCTATCACTGTTTGTGGCATTTAAGAGTTGCACTTTTTTTTTCTCTCTCAGTCAGAATGGCATGGGCTGGGTATCCATGATGGCTCGTGTAGGAGCGATGGTGGCCCCCATGGTGCTTCTCGCAGGGGAATACATACCTTGGATACCAGGTTTAATCTATGGAGGAGCTCCTATTCTCAGTGGAGTGGCTGCAATATTTCTTCCAGAAACACTTGGCTCACCCCTTCCTGACACAATACAAGATGTGGAGGACAGGTAAGATCAATCTCCAGGAAACAGTCCTTTCCTTATATCGCTGCAGGTCCCAAAATCAAAACATTAATTTTAGTAATGGAAAGAGCGCACCATCATGGTTAAAGAGAGAGAGAGAGAGGAAAACTGATTTATCCATATTTGCATTTTCTATTTTAAACACAGGGGATCTGGGAGAGGCTCCAAAATGCCACCAAAGGAAGCAATAATCTTGCAAGACACGCAGGCGAATCACCTAAAGCAGGCTCCCTGAGGGCATGGGTTTTGTACTCCTGATGTATGTACTGACATGTTAATGAAAGTAGAGTGGGTACTGCTTTTTCTCTGGCCTGTTTATTTGTTTGATTTCAAGAGTTTATTGTGTCTCATGACTGCTGGACAAATGGAGTTGCAATGTTATTTCTAGACAGGTCAATACAGTGAAATAAATAGCTGCAAACAATCAGACCTATGTTTATTTGCTATACAGTAGCTTTGTGGACTTTAGTCTTAATTTGCACCAATTAGGTTTTATATTTTGCGTATCTGTGTTAAAAAAAAGAATAATTCCTAAGCCTTCTACAGGTTAAATACTATGCTATGCTTTCACTGGTGTTTTTATAACTTCTTATTACTTTATATACAACCTTGTATTTGTGAAGGAAAATGTGTTTTCATTAAAATCAACACCTATTTATTTATGTCTTGTGTGTCTTTTCTTATGGTCTGTTGAACCCAAATATTCAGCATGATTTGTTGAGTTCCCATTTAAATGGGCTGTCAGCTGAATTAACGGAAACAAGTCAGATGTATGACCTGCTTGACCAGGACAAGAATTTAAATACAGAAAACACAGCACCACCCAGTGGGAGACAGAAATACAACAGCAGCAGCTAAAAAAAGGGATCAGTCACTGCCTGGGCCAAATCTTATGGTTCTGAAACAGCGCACCTACCTGATGTTAGAAAAACATATACAGGATAAAGTTTTGCATCCTTAGTACTTATCCAGTTTTAATTTTACTTCACTTTTCAACTTTATCTTTACATGACAACCTCTGGTTTCCCACAAACAAGGTCAAAATGCCCTTCACTCTTTAAATATTAAACTTTTGTGTCTCACAGACAGTCTTGCTAAAGTCTGCAGGACCTTTAATGGATAACTTAATCATGGGTATCTATTCAAAAATGCTCACTTACATGTGAGCAGAATTTAGACAATGGTTTTTTTTTTCTCTACAGTATTGGATTTGCCGCTTTTGAACATCCTATGAAAAGAGCTAAGAGACTTTTTTAAACTTATATTTTCACTTTTTGACCTTTTTTCATGCTCTGGAATTAACTTGGCTCTCTATAGGGAGTGTTGCGGATCAGAGCCTTTCCCTATCATCTCCAACGCAGAGAAAAACCAGTTTAGGCCAACATAAATTTTTAATCATGGAAACAAAAATTATGTTTGATACATTTGTGCTGAAATAAAAAAAAAACATCATATAAACTGCTGCCGTTCAGTATTGACCTTAAATGCTGTAAATTAATAATTAAATAAAAAACAAACACTTAGTGGATAACATAATATTTAATATGATAACATTAAGTTACGACTGTACTGTCACAGTCTTGTGACACAAATAATAATTAACTATATTTTAAACTGGAAGGATTTTGTCGGTATTGGTATTCCATATTCGCTATAATAAATGCTTGGAAACTGTTTTCATAAGTAAAGTAAATGTTAGAAACTCTTCCCAAAAACATCTATATGGTGTATTTTTATTAAATGAGGAAATATAACGACATACAGTACAGAATACCACTCACACAATGCAAAATAATAATTCTGGTGTGTGACTCTTGCTGTTGTGACACCATCTAGTGGTGTATCCATGCTAATGCATACGCTAAACTAAACATTTAATCATTGGAATATCTGTATATGATAAAAAGGAAAAAATTACTAGCTAAAAATGTGACATGAAATCTTGACCTGCACTTCTTAGATTATATAGATTCTTGTTCTTAGAAGTGTGAATGTGCAAGACAAATTGGGCTGCATTTCATATGTGAGGGCTGCTCCCACTTATATGTTCTATTATCAATTGATCATTCAAGATTTTGTTTTATATGCAAATGAAAATGTTAAAATATTGTCAAGAAATCCTTCTGCACAAATACATTACTCTGAGGAGTGACAATAATGCTGCAAGAACAATCGAGATTTGAATTGGTTAGGAAAATAAATCCTGTGAGTAAGTTGTGTTTTTTTTTTTTTAATTTGGAGGATAGCCCCATACATTTTTTTCCTTTCAAACATTATATAATTTTACAATGTTCAGCTCTCATGCACAATGTGTTTATATGCCCTGGCACTTACTGTATGAGCTATCTCTTCAGAGAGCAGAACTACCATGTAAAACATTTGTTATCTATAAACCTCCAATCACCATATGAAACAAATACCATAACCAGATTTTATATGTGTAGTCTGTGTATCACATGCATTATGTTAGACAAGTCAAACCTAATGTCAAGATAAAATATGAACCAAAATGCAGAGCAAAGCTTTCTACAAAAATAACTACATCGTAAAATGATATGAATAAAGATTTATTTTCTCATATGAACAGGTGGATTCATTTTTCATTTTATTTTACAATCTATGACAATCTCGCATTTTTTTCTTTTTTTCTAGCATATTTCAGGAATGACATGGGGAAAGGTTCTTTTTTATTGCTGAATGTTAAATGAAATACACTTTCACTGACTGGAAAAGAATTGTCTGCTGCTTTTTTACCATGCACCCATCTAACCGTGACCACAAGGACATGCAGAAGAGAGGTGTTCAAACATTTCAAGCGAGGGTGGGGTCAGGTGGGGGGTGGGATCATAAAATTAAACAGAAGAGACTGGTAGGACGTGCCTGGTAGCATCTCAATTGGGTGAGAGGACAGGCAAAGTGAAGGGAGTATCACAATTAAACTAGAGGAGCACTGTCTTCTTTTGCATTTTTCAGACATACAAAATTAGACCCAGAGGTGAGAAACTCAATGAAATATCTGCAAGTGAGGTGTGACCAAGACCATTCTCTATAACGATACCACTGTGCATTTACCACATAGCAGTTAGAATTGCAGATCAATCTTTTTAGGAGTTTTTTTTTTTTTTAAACCATTAATCATCTAATAATTCAGCATTCAGTTGTTTTTTTTAAAACAATGAGTAGAAACAGAAACTGTTCTCTCTCACTGAGTTACTTTTAATGGGCTTGACATTTCTTGAATTCTCTTTTAAATATTTATCTTCAGTGGAGGACAGGGGGCTTACATGATTTTGTTTACTTTTGAAATTATCATCATTTACGGATTTAATTTGAAATGACAATTTCTGTCAACAAGACAAAGCAGTACACAGTACTATTGGAGGAGACACTATTTGGATGCTATTTGACATTACTTGGAAGTGTGCATGTAAAGTGGAGCGGTCTAAAACCAAGTGATAACATAATTTATGGACACAGTCATTCAATGGACATGAGTATGTGAACAAGAAAGGCTGACAACTTGATAGATGGCTGCATAATGGCTTTAAAAACTAACTCATGTAAATATGCATTTATATCATGATATTTCATTCTACACTAGGCATCACATAGTTTTTTTTTTACACACAACACACTACAGTCACCTCTTAGAAAACAATGTAATCAAACAGCAAAATAGAAAGTTTGCATATTTTTGCATTGTATGACCCTCCATAGTTTCACAGCTATTTCATTTATAGTGTCTAGTATATTCTGTACTGTTTCTTCACTGAGCTGCTTCTGCTTGGCTTTCTTTCTCTCTGGATGGGAGTGTTCAGGGAACTGGTAGACTGTATGTTAACATTTAGGCCTTCATTATCTGAGAACCTTAGTCTTAGGTAGACCTTAAGTTGAGGAGGAGGGTGAACAGGGTTTAAGGTGAAAGGGGTGGGGGGCATGTGGAAATCCTGAGACACTGTGTGGCCTTTAACACGAGCCACGACAACAGAATGGACACAGACGTATGATGAGGCATGGGTTTGGGGGCTGAATTGGGTGAAAACAGATGCAATCTTTTTTGTTTAGCCATCACCTCTGATGGCAGGGGGCACTGTGTGCCAAGTGGCTCAGTGTTTGTTGGTCTCATAATAGTCTAACATGAGGAAAACCTGCTGGGGAATAGGAGGGGACTTAACTGGGGCAGGCTGGGAAAGGGGCAGAATAGCTGTAAACACATCAAGCAATGACCTGCATAACATACAACCCTAAAGCAGCATTACCTGTTCACCTACACTGGGGTTGGGGGTGGGGGTGGGGGGTGGTGGGGCGTGTCATTGTTCTGATAAAGCACTATTCTGTGAACCTCTGAGACACTGTTCTGTCAGCTCTGCTGAGACACCAGTAGACCCACACGTTTGATGTTACCACAACAAACAATGAAATTCATCTAACAATCACAAATACATGCAAGCAAACTAACATGCACACGCGCGTGCGCACACACACACAGACACACACACACACACACACACACACACACACACACACACACACACACAGTCACACACACTCACACAGGCATTTACACACACAACCACACAATCTTTCACTTTCTCTCCCTCTCGTTAGACGTTAGTCACAGGGCAAATAGGATCTACACTGTATTTATCAGGCGTTCTATTAGATCCCAAATCATAAACCCTATAGGCGAATCATATTAATGTAAACATACACTTTATGTTGAAGTGGTTTATATTGCGTGACATGGAAGGGGTGATGTTCCAGTGGGGCTAGACTCCTCAAAGAATGCAACTTGAAAAGAAAGTAAAACAGGAAACCAGAGAGGAAAAAGAACATAAATGTGTATAAAAAATGAGGCGTCCATATAAGAAAGGCTACAAAAACCTCCACTGGCCCTCTGGCATCGGCATACAGCAAAAGGCACCACAATATTACTCTATTTTTTACGTTGTGAAAAAACTGGCACATCTTTTTATGCTGTAAATCAAAATGTACATATAAATAGAGTTTTCCCTATAAAAAAGTCTTTGCTGTTAACTAGTAGACAACTTTTGCTAAAATGAAAATAAATATTTCATTTGTTTAGAATATCTGTCAGTTATATAAAATAAAAATATTTCTTATAGATGCAGGTCTATACTATATTGATTTTTGTTGGTTCATTTTCACTCTTTAATGGGGTGTATTGTCCGGTTTGGAGCGTGAGTGTGTAAGTCTTGTATGCATGTTCCCATGCCCACTGTGCCGCCCCGATGAGTGAGAAGTCCGACTGTCCACCGGCCTGTAGATGGTGGAGGGCTCGGCATTCATGTTCTGCATACTGAGGAAGGGCGTGCTCTCACCGCCCTCCTCTGACTCACTATCTGTTAGGCAGCTTCGAGACCCATAGTCCCGAGATGCTTCATATCCACGCGGGGCCACGTGGCCATTCAGTCTGGATCTCCGCCAGCGCCGGCTACCAGTTCCACTGGACCCACTTCTCTTTGGTTGCTCCCGAGAGGAGAGATACTCCTGGGTGGTCTCATAGTCTTCTTCCTCAGCCAGTCGGTAGGGACTGGAGGGCAGGCTGCCCCTGCTGTCATTTAGATAGGTACGACGCTGCTGCCGATAGGGCTCCTGGCATTGGGCATCGTGTAGGGGCACCTGATAACGGCGCAGCAGAGGCTGGTCATCCTCCAGAGGGTAGGGGTTGTGGACAGCAGGAGGGAGAGACATGGCATGGCTGGCATTGGGGGATGTGATCTGGAAGGTAGGCACCTGCGAGGGCAATGAGTAATGGAAATCCACTGGCGAGAGGCGGGCTGGTGTTGTCAGGGCTGACACATATCTGTGGTAAATACAGAGGGGAGTAAACAGTTAAGTAGAGAAGAGCAAACAATAGATGTGAGAAAGAGGAGTGTACAAAAAACAGTTTGTATGTTTCATAGACATATTGTTAACTGAATGAACATTGCACCTTAAGTTGCCGTTTACTAGCAAACTGTAAATAGGAACTTAAATATTAAAATATTAAATATTCCATACATAGATTTAGCTTAGATGTTCACTTGAGCTGATCTGCTGTAAGTTAGACTGCACACTGGGCATAGTGACTGTACACTTGAAATCCCAATAATGATATATTTTAAAAATTATATCTGATTTTAAGTTCTTTCATAGTATTGAGGCAGTTTTCCCAAGGTTGAAATTACTTGGGAAAAGTGTGTTTTAGTTTCACCAATCTTCTGCAGTACAGAATCTAATATACTGCAGTCTGTCATTTTGTGTTATATGGTACTCTGGTATTGCTCATGACTGGTTTTATTCTTGTCTGCAGAACTAACTAATGGGAACGTAACCTCTATTGGCATAAGCTTCCTGTGGCGTCCCCCAGGGATCTATTCTGGATCTACTTCTTTTGTTAATATTCTTGGGTCATATAAAATACTAACATAATATTAGTTGATGCTGATGATTTGCAAAAGAGAAATTATTATTATTAGGCCCACTAATATTGGTAAGCGTTTGGGCACTTATATCAGAATGATCTTTAAACTAGATTATCTTCTGGAAAGATAACTAAATAGACATACGTCAAAAGGGGAGCCAAATCTGAATAGCTTGATGAATCTCTGAATGTCTTCTGAGATATGCATTCCTCAAAAAAGGGGACTTTTTCGGTTTTTGGGTTGGTAGGCACTCCAGATACCCAAATGTATGTGCACAAGCACTAAAAAAGTCATTATATGTCCCATTTAGGCCAATTACAATTCTATGTAACAGTTTGCAACACAGTTTTGAATCTTATTAATTTGCATCAGTTCTTTGATGATCACCTGGCTATATCTGAGCTTATTAAGCAGTTTAAGCCACAGTCCAGCCTGAGGTCCTCAGGGGGGTATTAAGCTATTGAAAATATTTGAAAGACCTATTTATTATATATTACCTATATGATATATATTACTATTATTCACTACTTATCTCTCTAACTACTTGCTTTTTCCTTCAGTAACATTACTCTTTTCCACACAAGGCATGCACACACATACTCTGGTCTGTCTTTCTCAGACAAACCTGCTTGCTCCGCCTCTTTTTCTCTCTCTGTATGTGTCACTGTTCACAAAAACACAACTCGCGTTCAAAATGTATTCCCGCGATTCTGTTTCAATAACAGCAGGTGAGCACGTGTGAAGGAGACTCGTTGTTAATGACAGAGCCTATCAAAATAAAAACCATGTGGTAACTAATGACATCAGCAACAGCTGATGTGTTCACTGCTGTTCACCCTTGCTTTACCTGGTCCACACTGGTAAAATAAACACTGTATCTGCGCCAGAGAACGTCTGTCTCTGTGTTTCTCTGCAGTGTGACTGTCAGTAGACTGTACAGGCGTAGGCAGAGTAAGGGGAGATTAGTACTGTGAGTGAGAGAGGCTTTTCAGAGCAAAACACAATGTTAGAGAAAAGTATGAATATATCTAAGGTTCGTTATGAAACTATGGCAGGCCCCAAGAGTGTAGGTAATTAATGGGAAACACTGACTTACTGACAAACTGTCTTTCTCTGCACCCATAGGCTCTGGACCAACCTGCCCAACAAGATCGCCCAGCCATCCCAGTGTACTAGGTTATAACACTTTTTAAGATGTATTAGTAACCTGTAAAACTAATAATAATAATACGCCAAACAAATAGAGGGAAGCATATCACCGCTAACTGCTGATAACTCTCTCCAGAATGGCAGCTCAGAGCACTGGGAATGTGTTGGTATTTACACCACTAGCACCAGAACTTTGGACCACCTGGAGAAGGGGGTATTCAGGCCTGGAGAACCAGTGAGTAATGCTGGCGGGTTGCTGTGCCAGAATGAACACCAGAACTGGAGTGGGCAACAGAACCGGGCTCAGCAGCCTCCCAATGAACACAGTCAGATCAAGACCAAACATAGCTTTTGAGACAAAGAGAGTCCAGTTTGAAGGTAGGGAATACAGTAATTGGTTTACAATGGCTCCGACAAGGACACTGATTCTGGGAACAAAAAAGACATGGTGCCTTCAGGTGGGGACAGGAGAGGAGTGAAGCGGGAAAGGAATGAGAGGGAGGTTGGGCATCAGTCAGTGCCCACCTCCGGAGGCCTGATTGAGGGTTACGGTGGGGTCAGTCCCATGGTGCCAGGAGATAAATCCTGCAAGAACCCACCTCCTGTTGAACTGAGGTTGCAGCCTGTAACTTCACTGCTATATTCAAATCCTACAAACTGGTCCTTTAAACTATAAACTACAATTCTTACACCTTTAAAAACAAACCTTTTAAGTATAGATTTTACTCAGATCGAACTAAAATTTACTTTTAACTTTACTGGTCTTGTATTTGCACTAACCATATATTGAAGTGGCACATTAGCCACTGCATCTTTTTTTTAGCATGTACAGGCTGATTTACATGTAGACCTTACTATTCCTAATCCTCTCCCATATCTTAACCAGCTCATCGTCTCTACTATATACACAACTCACTGCGGTTGTCATCTTAAGAAGCTTTGGTCAAATGTGCCATGGCCATGAGGGCATCATGGCTGCCTGCTGAAGTCAATGTGGATGTTCTTGAAGATACAGAATCACTAATGATTGATAGACACTAGCTCTAAAATCTTAAGTCAATGTTTAACTTTGAAGAGCAGTCTTAGTCTCACACTTGTTTGGTTGTCATGGGTGCCACTTTTCCATCCCTCCTCTCCTTAGATATAACATCTAATTGTACAAATTTGAATTGTTTGGATTGGCAAAACATCAGAAACTTAACTCATCTCCCATACAGTTCTAAAGTCATAATACCATCATCATAAACCAACTAAACACTTATCTCAATACAGTTGAAAAGCAACTTAGAATTTGCATATCACTGATTGTGAATCATTGTGGATCAGAGTGTTTGGATTGTCGTTTTATTGCCTTGAGGAAGGCTGTGTGAGACACAAGCCTAAGATATTCCCACAACACTGCTGATTCAGCTGATGCAGAAGCTGCCGCCAAGATGGAAGAGGTGCTTGTTACCTGAAATGACTCTGAGAGGATGTTGGTTGTGCAGTCTCACTCTCATAACAACTCAATGGCCAAGTCCCTATTTGTGCACACATGCTTGTTTCATGCTGGCATTGTTGATACCTTAGAGCTCAACCACATACAAGGCAAGACATATCTTGTCTATTTCTAACATACTGGTCATTTGCTTCAGATACTGTTTGTTCAGAGAGCAACTGCCAGCACTGCATAGTCCAATTTCTCTCTCAGGTTCCTGTGATTTATATCATATTGAAGTCTCAGCCAGCAGCTGGTGTAAGACACTCAATCTGTAAGTCATGTAGTCAGTTCCCAAAATGTTTAAATACTTTACCTAGGCGTGCATGAAACAGCTATAACGATTTTAGGAAACTCCTTGCTCCATTACTTAAATATTTGGCTCAGTTGTTAAAGCATGACTGAACCAGGACATTTGCATATTCATACCTCAAGTATGCATTCTGCAGGAACAGCAGACTAAATACCACCAAGCATCACTTAAGGTTTAGAATGAGTTCATGTGTTACAAGGTTTACATCTGGTCCTAAGGTTGCCTTTGGTCTGCCTAATGGAATTTACTTAAAAACTGTATAGCTAATGAAACCTTGTTCAGGCAAAAGGCAGGGAGGCCTGCTGAGGTGACACAGGATGCTTCTAAACTCCTTTTTGTTTTCGAAAAGGAAAGGCGGTTTCATACCTGTGACCTGTGCACATTTTACACAGTTAAATAGAGACTACTTGGGTTTTGAACTTGCACAATCTATTGTTTGCTGTGACAACCTTGTGCAAGGGTTTAATTACTTAAAACGTCCCACTCGTCTGAGAATGTGACCACTTGTCTCCCTCTCCGAGTTTGTGGTATTTTACAATCTGAATATCATACTGTCCTATGCACTGGATCTTATGTGGTTTAACTGGGCATTTAACATTCTTCATGCCTACTGGTCACGATGCATTGAGCTATAGTTGTACAGTACCTTTACTATCAGTGACCCATCTGACATGGATTCGCTGATGCTGTGCATAATCAAGGCCCCACGAAGGAGGACTTTAAACAGAGATGAATGAGAATGTGTTTAAGCTATACAAAAGGAAAGGGCAGGGCACCCTCATGTATAGCAACCTGTAGCACGTTTTTTCAAACCTTAAACACAGGGTCTTCAATTACAGGGTCAACAAAGACAGACTTGCTTTACCAAACTGGGCCATCATTCCCTTCCTTCAAGAAATACATGTACTACTAGCAAAAATACCTAACCAACTATTTGTGTGGGTGTTGGGCCCTATAATTTTAGTATAGGGTCCGATTGTGCTCTCATATCTCCAAATGTCAACCTAGCTCACTGCTAATATACGCTTGTTGACTTTTGCTGTGAAAAGTGTTGGACAATCAAAACATCAGCATACAGCAGGATTTGGGGGGTTAATATTGGGCCCTATAAAATCCGTGAGTGTATCTTAAACACTTAAAAAGCAAGTTCAAATTCAGGCCATGGGTGACAGCAAGTACTACTGAAAAAAAGAGCATGTGGGAGACCTGAAAGCACATTATTTTGAGTAAATTAAATTGAGCTGTCATGTTCTAGTTCATATTAAAGGAATAGTCCAACATTATGGGAAATGTTTGCTATCTTGCCCAGAGTCAGGACAGAAATAGGTGCAGGATAAATATAGACTAAAATATATCTTTGGCGTTGTTGAAAGGCATATTTCCTTGCTTCTGACAGACAGATCTAACTGCTTCTTTCTGGTTCTACTCTTTATGCTAGGCAAGGCTAAACACATCCAGGACCTATCTCTGTGACACAAAGACTAAATTGATATTTTGTTATGTGTCTCTGGGCAAGATGGCAAACACGTGTATTTGCCAAAATTTCACATTGTTCCTTAAATAAAATTAAAGGGAACACTGTAGCCAATCAGAATTACGTACTGGCCAGGGAATAATGTTACAGTAGCTGTATGCACAGAGTTCCCATTGAAATAAGCACTGTTTTTCACTCTTGCCTACCTTAGCGTATTTCATCATCATGCCTGCTGTGTGTCAGTTTCCACTGAGTCTCTTAGAGTGCCCTGACTGGCCTCTCGAGGCTGAGAGAGAACCAGCAGAGAGAGAGGAAACTTCTCAAAATGTTCACGACAAACCCAGTACCATATCAGCCACACAGGCCTGTTTCCCACCTGTCGCTGTGCGGAGAGTCTCCTAGCGAGTCGAAGGAGTCTCCATACTGCAGGCCCGGCCGAGGGGGGTCAGAGTAACCACAGTGTGCAGCGCGCCGGGCCCGTGCCTCAATGCACGCAGGACTGCTGCATTTACTGGTCCCCACGGATGATGACATAATTCCCGGCGAGTCAGAGAGGAAGCCGTCAGAATGTTCCAGGCTCCATGTCCGTTCCTCTTGTCTGACAAATAAAAAAGGTGTTAACACGGACACACCCCAGCATGTCCCAGTGTGATTCTTTTTTTTCTTTAAAAAGAATCACACATTTTAAAAAAGAAGTTAGACAATTGGTGCATCTTTTTCTAGAAGCAGGGAATTTAACCAATTAACCAAATTCACCTATTCCTTGAGATTGTGTATTTAAGTGCTGAATGTTAGGTAAACATAAGGGCTAACACACATACTGTATGAGGCATGCTTACCTGTTTGTTGATGAATGGGCTCGTGTGGAAGAGTTGTGAGATCTGGAAGAGGCATGGCTGGTGGGGAACGATCCCTCTGTTGCAGGCCGTATGACTCGTTCAGTTGCAGGGACATTCTTTGGTATGTACTGTGTTGGGGGGAAAATGGATTTGGCAGATGGGAAAATGTGAAAAAAGACAAGTTTTGATTATATAACTGAGCATAAACCATTTGTGTACAGCTGTATGCGTATTCTTTAATAACGGTTGGAATCCTTTCAGAAACTCACATCTACCATAGGGATTTCCTCTGGGCCTGGTCCTGGGTGATTGGGTCCGTTAGGTATGTTACGATTGGGATGTTCTGGACACATGTTTTGTCGCAGATGATTGTGCATCTTCTTTCTTTGTTTCCTGTTGAGAAAATATTTGTCAGTCTCTCTCTCTTTTTTTTGTTAAGATGTCTTAACTAATGATTTAACATTATGCTTTTTTACTTGATGTAACAACTAGATTAACTATTTCACCTGTAAACACGTATCATAATATAAAAACACTAAATTGTGAGACAGCCAGCAGCATGAGTATACATTAAACTGTTTTTTTTAAATAAAATGCCGGTGGTCAGAGAAATCTCAAAGGCTACAACTTCAAAAATCATGAGCTGATCCCATTTATCAGCAGGACTTACTTGGTTTTACAGTAGGCAACCACACACACGATGCCCACCACCAACAGAGCCACACAAATACCCGTGATTGTCAGGACTCGTTTCTGGTAGAGTTCCTCTGCCTCTGTCAACATCACACCCACAAATACACAGATGCACCCACACACACCACACGCACACAGTGAGGGAAATAAAAGGATAAAAAAAATTAGTGTCTTGAAGGGGCAGGTTCCCACTTTTTCACTGTAGATCCACATTTCTTTCTTTTTTTGACTAAATCCTGAGCAGTATGAAGCTTCATCTTCCCTTTCCTGACAACTCACTTCACAGTCAAACCTCTCCTCTCACATTATCACAAATACAACAGATGCTGTTGCTGCCTGTGCTGCAGTAAGGCAGCGTGGGTGGGGGCAGGGGCTCACACATAGTTAGACTGATCTATTAAGCAACTGTATTCTCTAAAAATGGAAGTGAATTAAAATTATATATAGTACGATAATGGTTCAAGCCTTTAATTGATGACCGAACCTGCTATACTGTGCAGTATAGCACCAAATGTGCAATTTTGGTCTAAAGTTCCATTACTCAGTTTCTATCTATCTATCATGATGTATGCATGATCAGCAATCTTGTTCATTTACAGAAGTCTTCATCTACTCAGGCATTCAGTAAGCACAATAATTAGACTTTATTTTACAGTAATTTATGAAACAAGTAAATTCTGAGATGAAATATCATTAAATATGAGTCTTGAATGATGCTTTTTGCTTTTCCAGAAAAGAGCTTGTGTGAGACTGAAGTAGACTCTTTGTGTCTCCGGGGAAAACGATGAAGCAAAGAGGCAGTGTGGTCTCTGATAAATAATGTAATAAAATGAGTTGAATTTGTACAACTCCTTCCATCTGAGGTTTCCTCCTTTCATTCACCAGCAGCCATTTTACACTGGCACGTCAACTTGTATGAACTTTCTGATGCCAGAAATAAATTATATTCACAAATGATATTGGTGTAGGTATAACAACCCAATGTCCCCATGGTCCAGTACATAAATGTACTTAATGTATAATTACATGATCTCTGAAAAGACGCCTCTAGCGTTTATTCTTCACTCTCAACAACTGAAGCACTTTTCTGGAAAAGGTAGCAGAAAACAAGAGCTAACAATGAAGGAGGATGGAAATAGCAGCAGATAGAAGAAAAACATGATCTAAATATAGCATTGCATGCTCACATCACAGCATCTATGGCTTGAAGGATAATTCAAACCAGTTACACAGATATTTCATACTTCAAAGTTACATTTCAGCTATACTATAGATGGGGTGATGCAAGAAACATGGACAAGATCACACATAAGTAACAGGAAAAGAGAGGGCATATCAAAGGAAAAGACAGACACTAAAGGCAAAGGACTAAAAGGATTGGATAGGATGGATAGTTGAAGATTGAGAAAAGACATCTGGTATACTATAACTACAAACATGATACATCATGCTTGTTACAGATGGAATGAGGAACCAAAAATCAGTCCAAAAAGGAAAAAATGCTACCATGAGTGAGACGGAAACTCAGTTAATAGCTCTACTTTTCCATTACACATGTATGAGAGGTGATGACATCCATGTTAATGATGTTTGATGGAGGATCAGTTGCATTGACTAATCGTTTGTCATTACAATGAGTTATGGCAGGGTTGATCAAGAGATTGATTGGTTAATCGAGGGACAATATGATTTACAGTTCACACCACAGACGGAACGGGAGCAAGTCAAAACGAAGGACATCCATTTAGTAGCTATGCTAGGACTGAGAATCAAAATGGATTGTTCCATACCCATAAATTCAATCCCAAGATGCTCTGCCATTGCAGAGGGTTGGACAGTTGGAAGGAAAACAAAAAGAAACAAAAGACCAGATTAAGAGAGTAGCACCTTCTAATATATAGTGGAGCAAACAAAAATAGGCATTACAGCAACTGAGACAACAAACACTTGTCAGTAATTGTCAGAATGACGTGGTCAGTAACGTCAAAGACGAGACACCTGAACACACTTACAGCATGCAAAACACACTTCAAACCACACAACACAAAGCTACTCGACTACACAACTACAATTTTATATATACAACTAATATATTCTAAGCAAACAACATTTCTTGAGTTGAGTTTTGGACGTTCTGGACATTGTGTAAAATTTCTACTGTGTGACTCAACACAGTCCAATTACTATTATTATTGTTGCTTTCAGAAGAGGCACCTCAGTTCTACTTTCTAGTGATTTTAGAGATTTAGGGTTTGTAGAAAGAGCAATTTCATTACATAACCAAACAAAATCTCCTGGGAATAGGACCTATTAGACGCATAGCCCCTCTCATTATTGCTGCATGGGGAAAACATGCGTCATCTGCTGAGATTACCTGTGCTTTCAGTTTTCTGCTTTCTAGAATCACTACACTGTCATTTCCTGAACACACCCATCACATGAACAGGCAAGTTAAAAGGAGTGTATCTGTACAGTATCGGAGTAATCACGGTGAATAAGAAGAATCATAGTTGGACTTTATATGATATGGCAGAGTGAGGCCATAGGGAGGCTGCACCAACCGACTGAGTCCATATCTCTGGCAGCTCACTTGCTTTACTTGGGTTGAAGCAAGCCCCAGCTGTTCTTATGACAACATGTTCTTGTTAAGCCAAGCCCTTATGGCTGAGGAGCAGAAGCCATCCTCCTTCTCTTTGCTATCTCCTGGGGATGGGAGGCGCCCCTACAGGAGGCGGGTCTTTAAGTATGGAATGGTTGTGTGCGTGCACATGTGGATGCTCTTTGGGAGAAAACCTGATTTATTTTTCTTAATTGAGAGTAGAAAATGTGAGCTATGTGAAAGGCCATTAAAGCTCACTACATCCACTATATCTGTCCTGTCTGCATGTGGCTTTCATGAACCTGATTTCTACTGTGGATCTGTACTTTTGAGGGGTTAACAGCCATATATGGAAAAATCCTTTTACATTGTATACTTGGACTACATGCAAGTTCTTCCTATGATAATGCCTTTTCATTTTTGTGTGGTATGCATGTTAGCAGGTATGAATGCATCTTGTCTCAACAGTTGTTTCATTAGGACCAGTGTGCAGGATTTGGTGGCATCTTGCAGTGAAATTACAGATTGCAACCAACTGAACACTGCACGTGTCTGTATTTGATGACTACTAGAAAACTAGTGAAAAATTTGGGAAAAATGCATGCATTTAAATCTTATTGTTTACACCCTGTTCTTTTAAATATATAGACAAATAGTCAAGTCATTGATTTGAATGTATAAGCATGTAAACCAAGTAATCAAAGCTTGGTCTGTGTTCATGTGGCTGGATGAGAACTGGATAAATGCTGTCCTTGATGCAGTCGCACAGCTGCACTGAAGTTAAACAGAATGCAGAAAAAGCAAGTGAGAGTAGGAAAAAGCGCTCCCACACACCACTGTCTACTCTGCCAAAAAAGCAAGTAATTTCAGCACAGTGCATTACGACTTAATGTGAGATGAAATTACTTGAAGTTAAGAAGGGGGTTTTTGCATTGTACTCCGAGCCAACATACAACAAACAGTATGTGTAAGCTCTACAAGTCAGACTAGAGGGATGGGACTGTAGGCAGCATCAGGCAACTCCAAAAGCAGATGCAGTTAGTTATTTTTTAACTTTAATGTTACACTGAATTGCAACCACATGGGCTTGTAAAGACATGACGCTGACAAATATGCAGGAAGATAGCAGGAGATTCCTTGCTATAATCTGACATGAATTATAGAGTTTGTGTTAAATTTTATATAATTATGATACACTATCTTTACCCTTGTGTGTGTCTTTTTCACAGAACCAAATCCAAGCTACATGAAATCTCAGTAGTTTATGTTTCATTAATGTCAGGTCACTCACTCCTTTCAGTATCACTTGAGATACTGTAATCCACCAACAGGTAACACTGAGGTGTAAAACATGTAGAAAACCCTTAAGGGCAAGGTGTATCAAGCCATAGTTCTCCACAAACCTTCCTCTAATCTTGGTATAATTCTGCAGTTGATGGATGTGCTTGCTGACGTTGCTGTGTGAAGCGGTGCAGGGTTCTCTTACCCCAGGCTAGCAAAGCAGTTTGACACGGCACTCTAGTACAGAGCATGAACTCTATGCTGAGGACATCTGCTGTGAGCCATCATATTGTTGCTACTTCTAGAGCAACATGTGTTAGCAACAAATGCAATTTTGCTGAATGTTGAACTAAACAATGTTAGGTAGGTGGTTACTGGAGAGTGGCTGTATCTCCGGCTGTAACTGAGGTCTTAATCGGCTCATCTGAAAGTGGAAAAAAATGGTGCCTCATTTTTTTAACAGCATTACATATTTTGAAGGAATGTGATGTCCAGCCTGTATGTGCATGTATATTCTACTTAAAGCAACTGTGATTCACCATGCAATAACTTTAAATATTCCCTGAATGATTGGACCTTTGGGGAATCAAATTAGCTTATTCAAGAATTACATTCTAGTTAACAAGAATTCTTTCATGTTGGCTCATGTATCATCTGCTCACTGATAGATGCATAAAACAATGCATAGATATATTTCCAAAGAAATCCTACATGTCGTATCTGTTTTGTATGGAATGCATAATAAAGGGCGTATAAGACTACATTTTGAGCGTCATCTTTCTCTTTAAGTGATGGTCCTCAACAAACATTTCTTTATCAGTAAAGCCAGTGCACCACTTAACACATTCAATCATTTGTCATGCTAGTATTAGTTAATGCTAATTGTCTAGGCCTGGCTTTCCATTTATCAGCTGAGATAGGATCGTACATGCTTGTGTTTGCAGCTGATTGCATCCACATTATTAGTAAGCGAGCTAAAGGTATAGGGTTTTAGTAATTGTTTTGCCATTAGACTGTGTTGTTACATGCAGCTGACTTTGTGCAATTCAACTTCCACAAAGCATCTAAATCCAGCGCTTACTTGTTGTTATCAAACTTACTATCAGTTCGTACTCTGAGAGTGCACATGCAATACACTGGGAGTTAAAGGGCACATAATATCACATGCAGACCAAACACAATAACAGACTCCACTAAACTATGCCAGCTTGTGAATGAGTCATCATCGGAGGCACAGACACAACTATTAGGTAATAACAGGAAATGAATGCAATCTCTCTACACTCAGCATGCACGCATGACATGAGGACAGTCTGACAGAGTGACAGAAGAGGAAATTGACATACGGTAGAAACTGGCCATAACGTAGGTTTGACAGCGATCACCAGTAAAGTCATTTGGACACCTGATGGAAAGAAACAAAGCCACAGAAAGAGAGGGAGGAGAAGGGTGGTGGATGAGTGAGAAAGAGAAGGAAAACAGAACAAGAGAGAGGGCAAGGGTGGAGTGAAAAGGAGAGTATGCATAAGAAAAAGTGAAGAGGGAGAGAGGGAGGGAGGGAGGGAGGGAGGGAGGGAGAGAGAGAGAGAGAGAGAGAGAGAAGCAGAGAGACACAGAATTAGAACAACAGCACAACTACAGACAGCAGAAGCAGAGTGTTCCCCTGGATGACACCACCGTGTACATGGTGTAGTGCACAGCTCATTGCGTGTTGACCTGAGAAGGAGAAAGAGGAGGAGAAAGAGGAGGAAAACTGGGGAGGGGGGCAGCAGGAGTCCACAGAGGTAATCCAGTGCCAACTGTGTCTCTGTTCTCAGCTGCTCATATCAAGTGAACATACTTTTGAAAGGATTGGGCATGTACAACCGCAGCGGCTCAGTCTGTAAGCATCGAGGGCCGAAGTATCCATCCGGACATCTGGGAAGGAGCAGACAAGTGTTATGAAAAGGAAAACACAGGAAGTGAGGTGCACTGAAAATATTACTCTGAACTTTAACAACATATTGTTAAAGGTCATAGTAAAGCCTTTGTAAACTTTGTAACTTCAAACCCAAGTGACCCACACTAACACGTAGTGATGACTCTGGACACCAAGGAAAATGTATAAAAAAATTAATCACAACTACTTCTACTAATAGTAATAATAATATAGTATAGTATAATAGTCATTATTATAATATTGTTAATAATACTACTTAAGATAACAATTTTGTTGTTAATTTATTGTTTAATAAGTTAAGACACTTAACAACCAATAAAGTATTCCACCATCCACAAATTCAGAAAAGTGAGAAGGAAAACAACAAAAACTGCTACTAAAAATGATCCAGAGTATATTACAAAAAATAATAATAATAAAAAAGATATAATACATGTAATAAAAAGGGTAAAAGCCAAGTTTAAAAAAACAAGTTTCAAATAATATAAAAGGTAATTTATAGGCTTCAGGGGCTCCAACAGCAAAAAAAGGTCTGTATTTTGGTGGATAAGAGAAGAGCAACATTCATGATTACATGGACAAGAAAGTGGAATGTATCTGGGGATAAACCATGCACTGCTTTTTTGGTGATCAATAAATCAATCCTAGGAAGCCTGTGCTGCAAAGCTGAAATTGGGGTTGTGGTTTATTCTCTTGGTGTCTGTTGGGAGAGCGGTAACTGCGTTCATAACCAATGTGACAGTTTTATATCCGTCGGGCAGTGAGTCATAAACTAGTAAAATCAAGAGGAAAACCTGAATTTGTATTTCCAGTTCTAAAAGAATGATTTCAATATGGAGATTTTGGAATGGAAAAGCACGAACAGACAACTCTCTTTACTTCTGGTCTGAAACATAAGTCAGAGTCAAGAAACGTTTTCTGACATGTCGATTATTATATTTTTGTAAGTGAAGACAGACTACTGTATCATCACCATCAGGAGTGTTGGGCCAAACCATATTTCCTCATTATAATCACATTAGGATGAGCAGTTGGTCTTTTAGGGGTACCAACATTCCACTCACAGTCACAACTAGACCACCAATCCAACAAAGGTCATTGCTTGTGATTTACTGGTTTCACACAACAACTCCCAGGAGCACCATAACATTCAGCATTAAATTACTCATCCTGAGTGATGGTGTTTAACTGGGGGATAGCACCACCTAGACCAAGGAAACTTGGCTGAAAGATGAAAGAAATAACCTGTCACTACATAATTTAAAAATCAGATGAGTGTGCAACTATCCACTGTGGTGCAGCTGCAAACTCTATTATCATTCTTCTATCTTTAGTTAAGAAAGGTGGGAAATACATCAATGTCATCATTCATTATAATTTGAGCAAAAATAAAAACGTAACATTCAGGAGGTAAAAAATTATATTCCATGTGTATTCTACATAATGTATATACAGTAGACTTACACAGCCAGCAGTCCCACAGAGATGATTTGGTAAAAGTTCCCAGTGCACCTCGTTCATAATACAGTATTTGTTCTGTTTTTCTGAAGGAATAATTCAATGAAGACTGCCAATGTATATTTTCATAGAGCTGAAACTGTTAGTTGCTCAACTGATCAGTTGTCTGACAGAAAATTAATCTGCATCTATTTTCACAATCCCCAACAATTCTCTGATTCCAGCTTCTCCAATGTGAGATTTGTTGATTTTTCCGTTTCCATCATTGTAAACTTGGGGTTATGGAGTGCTGGTCAGACAAAGAATAAATTAAAAGATTCATTCATTGACAGAGAAAAAACATTTATTGAAAACTAAATTGAAATTAATGATGACTAATGATCCTTTACTATTGTCACACCATGCACAGCCATGTAGGTTAGATATAGAATAGATTTTTAAGTGTCATGTGAACATTTATTTAGGATTGATGTGTTAAAAAGAGCCTACACCTTTTTTTCTTTACAATTAATTTATGAGAAGGAAATCTGCAGAAAAGAGTAACTTACTTTAGGTCATTTATTAACCTTACCTCTCCCCAAAACAAAGTTTATACCTCAAAGTGAGGGAGCTGGGCACGAAAGTAGGGCTAGCTGTCTGCAGGACTTGTTTAGCCAGTGAGTAATACCCACTGAAGCCTGGCCTATATTGAATGAGATGGCTGTGGGGCAACAAATCCCTGCAGGCCTTCACTGCATTATCCAACTTTTCTGGACCCATGCCCCAGCCGTGAGTGAATTAGCTGCAGCAATTGAGTTATTGCTGCCTCCAATTTGTACACAGCGTATTGAACGGCTGTTGCAGCCATGTCCTCATTGCTTGTCGAGCATTCTTCCTTGGGCCAACTGGGCACAGGAGCCTCGCCAATGTTTCAGCTCTATATCAAACCATCCAAAGGACTTATGCTAGGATGACATATGGTCGAACAGAACATGAAACATAATATCTGACAACCATGGCAAGAGACAATGTATATATTTTGTGTTGGTTTTACTGGTTGCAACAGTTACAGTAACAGCCTCTCACAGTGGTGCAAGAGAGCTGCAACTAACAATTATTTTCATTATCGATTACTCTGACAGTTATTTTCTTGATTAACTGATGTATCTTTTAGCCCAGAAATGTCCATCACAATATATTATGTATATATATATATATATATCGCCCAAAAATATTCAGTTGAATAGGAAAACCTGCCAGGATTCATCTTTGGAAGCTGGAACCAGTGAATGTTTTGTATTTTCGCTTTAAAATGACTTCAATGATTAATCGATTATCAAATATCAACATTTTCGTCTTATCGACTAAATGTGTCAGTGTTCTCAGAAACAGAAGAAAACCAGAAAGAAGACCGAAACTGTATCTTTGAAAGGATCTCTCCTCATGAACATCGTTCTAAATAATGTTTCTTGACCTCGAGTCTAATACAAACTAAAATGTAAATGTCAAAGAAAGAAAAAGGTTGTTTCTGTGATAATGTCAACCTGTTTTCTTCCTGAAAAGCTGAGATACATGGTTTCTCCAGTCCACTTTACACATGGGTCTTGATCCCTTCTGCCAAGGACCTCAAATGTAAGCAAGGATTCTATTTACCTCACTGGGGGCCTCTAACAGGCATAAATATTTGCTCACTACTAAACCAGTGACTCATGACATTTTGAAAAGGCTTTTAATGTGCAGCCCTCCTGTACACTAAACATGACTTAAAAGGATGAGCACAGCACCGCCTCACTCCATTATTAGTGTTAAAATACACAACAGGTGGGTAGTTAGGCAGACGGGCAGCATTTCCCTGTGATGTGTTGCTGCTGCTGCTGCTGAAAGAAAGAAGAACGGAAATCCAGTGCTATCAGGAAAATAAACAGCAGGATAAAAATGTGTTGTTAGGATGCTGAGGGACATTATGAGAGTAAAAACATCACAAAATGAGTTTTCATTTGGAACAAAGAAGGCAGATGTGAACATTTTGATGTGAAACCAAAAAACAAAGGAACTCACTTGCAGGAGAGCTGATTTATACCATGTATGAAGTAACAGTCACCGCCATTCACACAGTAGGTCTTCTCTGTGTCGTTGCATCTTCTGGCGTGGCCTGAGCCTGGAGATAGCGTTGTGGTTACTGAGAGAACACAAGGAAAGAAACCACATTACCACCAGTTATATTCATCTCGATCTTAATTCATCTTCTTGTGTCAATTTTACTCCTTCAACCCTCCTTTAATTGCCCCAGTACGATGAATAAGGGAGATTTAAAAATAAAATAAGGAGGCATCATGATACATGATCACACAAAGGATTTTTATTTAATATCATCTCAGTTGTTATTTTTATCAGAATGATAGTCTCACATCTTGACAAGTATTCTCATTTTTGCTCAGATTACACACTTGTATTTCCACAAGAACTCTTAGTTTTCCATCTACAAATGTAATTGTGTCTCTAAGCAGTGTTGACACTATCTCAAGAAGTTCTATGAGCAAAGATAAATATTTCCCTGACATAGCGTAGGAGTTGTTTATACATTGACTCAGGTCCTTGGAATGGCCCAAAATGTCATGTATCTGCACTTAATCCCTCCGACTGAATAGATATAATATGTTTGGGATGAAGTCTGCTTATCAGGACGAAAGCAGGGATGTGAAGCAAGGGGAGTGCTGAGAGAGGTGCACGGTTGCAGGATTGGGCTTGAGAAGGGAGGAGCGTGTGTTGCATGTCAGATGCTGACACGTGATTGCAACTGTGTACCTCCTGTCAGACGCTATTAGCACCTTAGCAGAATATGACAGTTTGTTGGTAGGAATACAGAAGTTTCCAATTGGAAGACCTTTACAACTACAATACATCAGCTTCAGTGGTCATGTCATGCAGAATGTTGTGACAAGAAATTGCACTAGGATTTGGTTCAGCCGGGCCACTGTCTCTGACATAAAGTAGGCTGTTTGCCACCAGGACTAGATTTCACAACTCCCGTTTGTTGCACAGTTGGAGAACTCTGTTTTGTTCAGAAGCACACTTCTGGTTTAGCTGAAACAACAGAGGTTAATTCCTGTGGTAGTTAACAAAACAAAGCGAAAGGCTGACATCAGTCTGCACTCCACTTGCCAGTATAAGCAGCACTTTGCAAAAGTCCAAACACAATATTATAACAAAAGAAATGTTTTGTTTTTTTTCAGTAAATATAACTTATTACTAAAATAGGATGTTATTGCTCTGCAAAAGACTACTGGTATTACTTTCGGGCTTTAAACATATGGTCCAGATAGGTCACTGGATATCAAAATCTCCCTTTGGTGTTTCTCATTCTCTGGTAGACAAGGTTTACAGTTACAAACATCCATCCAAAGAAGTCATAAATCTACTCCTGGTTTCTGAATCTGATGAGACGTGCTGATTAGAGTTGAGATTTATAACTGACCCTTTCATCTTTTGGAGTTAAAAAGGTAACATAATGTAGGCTTAAGACATACGCTGTCATGTTATTGTTCTTTCGAAGTTCCCTAAAAATCATCTAATGTTTCCAACATACGACAGCAACCGTCAACTATCACCTCAAAATCTTTCAAACACATTTCCAGGTTCACCAGTTAATCAGGACTACCTCATCGTCACACCTGACCTCTCCCTTGGAGTGCTGGCGTGTAAAACACCTTGTAAAAAAGATCAGACAAAGCTGTCAGGAAGAAGGAACCTAAAAACATTGTAAAAAATAAAAACCCTCCTACGTTCAAAATAGAAGTCTTGTGCAGTCTTGCAAGAAAAAAGGCGGCAAAAACAGGCTGCATGAATCTTTATCTGGGGCAGCAGCCGATCCCAGAATGCACTGGTGGGAGGGAGGGGAACGTCCTGGTCAGATCATCAGTCCTCTGCAGGACGAGCTCCCACATAGACAATCACACACACATAATCTCCAGTCCACCTGGCTTACATGTGGGTGGACTGCGGGTGGAAAACAGACGACCCGGAGAAAAACCCACACAAGGAGGTGGAGAACATGTAAACTTCACACAGAGAGGATCAAGGCTGATAAGTGACCCCTGGACATGTTCTGCGGTCAAAGTTTCTCGGCTACTGGTCACAACACATCCATTTCACTGTACTCACTTTTTTACTTCACCATTTTTGGTGAAAAGGATAACTCGAGACAACTTTTTGAGCATGTAGCTTAGTTTAAGTGATTATTGCCCCAAATTAGAGCATCGCAGAACCTCATAATGATACTCTGTACTTTGTTGTCATCAGAGGAATGCTACATGACCTCTTTGGACTCTTAACATACTCTAATTGACCACAACCTACTTTTGTCTACTTTAAGCCCACATATTCCTTTTTACAAGACAGCTCCATGGGCACTGATATCTATATTAACAGTTCTGTGATCTATTAAATATTCAGCGCGCGACCATCTACACTCCCTTGGCCAGGTTTGCATGAAATTTCGGTTTCAAATGTTCCTTTAAGGTACAATACTTTCATTGGGGTATATAACTCTTTTCAGGCCCCATGAGCATGTATGAGTTTATCTTCTGAAATTTGGATGTCCACGGTAATACCTCAACATTTTTGGCATTGGCGGATTAATCAAATTCTTCTCCATAACTGTAAAAAAATTGTATCATCCTTTTTTGGGTGATGACAAATATATCAATACATGATACATATATATGGCCTGAGAGGAACCTCAGAGCGCCAGTCTTGTTTTGATTTGCCATACAATTGAAAACTTTCAAGCCAAGAGCCCTCATATCCCCCATCAGCAGATACGGTTCATTTGCCTAAATAACAAACATCACCTGCATGTATTCAAAAGCAAGCAGAGACACATTCTTGTGGACACTATTTTACCCTCAATGCAGTAAAAAAGATAAAAAAGTGAGTCTTCTTTGGACAATTCGCTGCTCTCTAAAGGAAGCCTCACACTCTGACAGTCTCTATATTCAATATCTATATGTCTATAAGACAGGATATATTGTAAGTACCTGTACCCACTCACTTGTGAATCTTGTCAGCTGACATATCTGAAAAGATTCAGTAGCACTACAAACAATATCAAAACAACAAAGGTATTTAAATAGCTTAAAAAAACCTTACCTATGTAATGTACTCTACATAGAAACCTCAGCTGAATGCAGTATATATAAATCAGCTATACATATGTAAAATATGTTGAAGGATTTTATATAAATCCTTTCATATAAAGAAAACATTACCTGTAACTTCACTAAAATGATCATTTTAGATCTGAGCTAGGTGGAACCCCAAACCTTTCAAAACACAAGATCATTTTTTCCCCACAACTCCTGCTTCCCGCAACACTCAACTAACTGCTGCAACATAGCTTTCAGTGGCTTCAAAGATGGCATCGATCCCAATACTAACAAAAACAATCCATTTGAGAACAGTTATTGGCCTGCAGTCATCAACTGACATCCAATCTATGATACAGAAAGTGTCCCAATGTTTTTCTCTCTTTCTTTTCTCTGCTGTCCTCCCTTTACTCCCCCGGAGTGAGTAAAAGTTCTGGTTTCAGTATAACTTGTATAACTTGCAGTCATTGTTACTTAGAATTCATTATAAAGTAAAAAACATTGACAACAAAAACATATAATGTGACTTGCATGACATGACAGGATACAAATTATAATCTGCAATGTAACCACAATTCAATAAAATATCATATTCATCATATTTGTGGCTAGAGTCTAGAAGATGTGAACAGTCAGAGTAAGAAAACTGTAAGTACATCATGGACACACTGAAAACCTGAAGGCACCAGGAATAATCAACAAGCAGAGATTCAACCATTCTGATTATTATGTCAAGGTTTAAAGTATGGCTGCTTTGATTCAAACAGCTGGAGGCCAAAGCAGGGGGAACTGCAACTAAACTGATGCACCAAGCATCTATAAATCAAACACATGCACCCACTTCAGGTTTTATAATGAACTTGTTAAACTTGACAAAAGTATGTAAAAACCTGCTGAGCAGCAGTAAAATATCCGGTCAGGACCTTGAGATGCCATGGACTTATAACTTCTATCTTCACCCGCAGCCGGCGATGGTGTCAGGCTGAACACCAACATACTCATAATATATACCGTAACTAGCCACCTTATCTGTTTTCGCTAACAACCCATAGGTCAAGGTGAACTTAAGTGCATGTGTCGGCAGGGATTTAAAAAAACGTATGAATGTGTTTCAGCGTAGCAGCAACCGATTTTGTTGGCATTTCTATCACAACATCTTCTTTTTGGTTTAGTTTAGTAAATACCATCCATCCCTAACCTTAATCCAAGTGCTTTTGTTGTCCTATACATAACCACGCCAGGGTCACTGTTTACACCTACCACACAAAACAAACCCCTCCCAACAATTTGCGTGTTGTACATAAATGCAGCACTACACTAGAAAATACTTTGCTGCGGAACATAATGAAGGCAGTAACTACATTTCCCTTCAAAAAGTGAGGAGACAAATGATAAATTGTATATAAATGTAATCACTGGCAGACAGGGTTGGACTGTGGCATTTATGGGATTTCAAATCCATTTGGTATAGCTTATCCAAGTGCCTCCTAGAGTTGGTCATATATGATGTAAATGTTGTGCTACTATATATAAGTAATGTTTTGCTAAACTAATGAACTACATTCTTTTGCAAAGTCCTTATTCAAAATATTGTGTAATAAATTGGAAAACCATTTACTGATTGAATAATGTGCATATTTTAAGTTATGCACAACTCCTTCCTGTCACAATTTAAAAAAGTAACAACAGTTACAAGAGTTGTAGTGACCCACAGAGCTTCTTTTGGTCCCTTGACTTCAGTCTGACTGCACTTTAACATGACAAACGAAAAAGAATGACAGAACCACTGCAGATATCACTGGTGGCAGTTTTTTCAGTTATTGGAAAACCCATACAAGGAGAGGTACATACAGCCCCTGTCCCAGTGATGAAACAAGAACAGTGTCTTCTTTCTGAGGTGATCTGGTTCAGCCAATACAGTGTTTACTTAGGCTGCACCACATGTTTACTCGAGATTAAAACTAATGACAAGGCCTAAAAATTTATTGACATGGTTAAAGATACACATAAACAACAGGGGAGCATCTCATTTAGG